CCCCCAAACTAAGCTCCCTTTCCTTGACATCTCAGACTTCAACTCTAAAATCCTGACACAACAATCACACTCATACATGGCATATTTTGGGCAATACAGAAGCCTAGTAAATGGAAAGCAAGTGCTTCAGGTCAGTGTTTAGTGCCCTCACCCAGTAAGAAAGCTTTTCTTGCCTCAGGCTGCAGAAACTTGTAACTTCTAAGAACTTCTGTTAACAAAAAAGAAAAGATTGGTTCTTAAGTAGAATCACTGTGCAGAAGCACCACTCCTAATCCTTCTTCCACAGAAGGAGAAAAAAAAAAAAAAAAAAACCCAAATCCTCACTGTAAACACTTTCTACCAAGTCTGTGAAGATGTTTTCAAGTAGAGGCACTACTGAAAAAATGTAGTGCTACATCCAACCACTACATAAAGCTAACATAATGACTGGAAGCTCAACATGTCTAAAACTAACCAGATTTAGCTTCAGTAACATTAACTACAATGCTTTGCCATAAGAGACCAAGAGTGAAAACATTTAGGAGTAACAGCATTAAGAGTATGTGAAAAGAACTTCCACCTTTAAAAAAGCTTGTAGAAAACAGAACTGCTGTAGCTACACAAGTCAAAGGCAGGGTTTCTAAGTGCCATGCAGGATGGTACCAGCTCATAGGTAGTAAGACAGTTCTGGTGGTAGTTGTCCACATAGTAAGTGAAAGGAAATGTTTTTTCCTCCCCTCATCTGTAAAGCTCCTGCTGCCTATCCTATGGAGTCAAGTCAGAATCCAGCACAAGCTGTCAGCTTCATTTCCAATGCTATTTTTAAACATCCAATCTCCTCTTTCTCAGGCTTGCAGGAGATACCTAACTCAAAGTCTTATTTCAATTAGCAAGTTCAGTACAGCTCTCAGTTCCCAGGTGTATTTGTATTTAAGCAGCACAGCAGGTTTGGAAATATAAATCCCAGCCACAGGCAGATGCGACAAGTAGGTGTGGCTGTGCTAGCGTAGGAAGGCCCAAGTATTGCCAACAAACAGCCTGTTTGCACAGAGGACCTGAACACCCAGGACCATACCTTCATTTCTTTCTGCCAGCCCACAAAATCAGCTTGCTATGTATACACTTAGAGTTGGTGGTGTTTGGGAACATTTTATTTTGTACATGACAAGATTTGACACCATGTCAGTTAAATAATACAAATTTACATTCATGAGGAATGTTTTTAGAAAAGTGAACTTAAAAAAAAAAGATCTCCTTTACCCTTAAAACCCCATACCACCCATCAACATTTTACAGTGGAAAAAAACAAAACAATCTAATTCATATTCCCTCCTAACCCCCCAATGCAGGACAGTAGTTGAGTGTAGTTTACAGTTCATCTTTCACATCTGTGGATTCCTGTGAAGACAAAAAAGAGAATTAGAATATTACTTTTGGAAAGTGGATAAAGGTTACAAGAACTGCCCCAGAAGAACAGAATTTTTTATTATTGTCACTGCACATTAGATTATCCTGCTATGCAAACATAACAGCAGTGGCATCAAAATTAAGTAGGTATAGTACAATAAATACTGTTTCTCAAATTTATTCTTACCTAATCTGACATTTAACAGTAGGAAATTACATTGCTGTAATCTATATATTTGCACTAGTCACAGGGTATCATTTTGCAGGTCTCTTCAAAAAGCAACCCAAGAAAGCAGGCCCAGTTGGGACCTCATAGCAACTTTACAAGTTAGTACTATCAAGAAGCTATGGTATTAGAAGAGTTCAGCATATCATCAAGACATAATTAAAACTGCAGCCATGAGCTAAGTGAAGGCTGACTTCACATGACAGGTGAACTGTTCAGAAGCAATGGTATTGTCTGGAATGTTGTTCCAAGCCTGTATTATAAGCATTTAAAATTACACAATTACAAACAACTGTTCATGTTTCTGCCCACAAGCTGTGGAAATGCCATGGATAATTATCTTTACTAGAGGATTTGCTACCCTTTTCTTGCCACAGGGCACCATTACCATCTCTAAAGCTTAACTCAGCTCCAGCTTTGAACATACCTCAGTGTCATCTTTTCAAAATACTAGTTTAATAATAAACTTGTTCTGCAGTTTTCTTCCCCCTCCAAGAAAAGCCTGGAACACCTGACACTAAAATCTAGTGTCATGAAAGGCAAAGTGAACTTTATTCCCAGGTAGCACCCACAGATTAAGGTGCACATAAATATTGGCAAGAAAGCATCAAACCTGAGACCCTACCTTCTGTGTATCACTGTCCTCAGCATCAGCATCCAGTTCCTCTTCATCCTGCTCTGCCTCCTCAGCTGCATCTTCAGGCTCTTCAGGTTCCTCATCCACCTGCACACAAAGGTCACAAGCAATTTGCTTTACTTGCTTAGGTTGTTTAATTAGTTGTGCACTAGCTAAATACAGGCTATGTAAGTATTCACTATTATTTCCTAACATTTGCCACCAGCTACCTGAAAGAAAAAGTAAAATCTGTTCAGCACTGCTCCACTCCAGCAAAACAGCCAGCAGAAGTTCTTGCACAGCATTAGGAGAACCTGTATTACTTGTACCCACTTAGAAATTTCTCCTCATTATAGAGATGGGAGCCAAAGGCCTGTGTGCCTAGTTTACTCCTGTAGAGCCAGCACTTGACTAAGGACAGGAATATGCTTAAGAAGCATAATGAAATAGCAGAATCTCAAGCAGCTACAAAGAGCAAGGAAGGAGAACATGAGCTTTAAGTACAGATTCATGGCTGGACTTTTGGTGGCCCACTTAACTGCAGGAAGCTGGATACATTTCATTTTATGCAAGTGAATGAAGCAGCTGCACTTTT